AATAAAATAAAAAAAAAGGATAGAATTGCCTCTTGGCAAAGACTACATAGTGTGTCTTTATCGTTTAGATTCATTTATATTTTATCATATACTTAAAATTCTCATGTGAAATATGATAGCATATTAACAAATAAAAATGTGTTATATATGTTTGCTTATGTAGTTGAGTAATTGAAATGTACATAGAACGTCGAAGAATACGATTCAATTAAAGTTATACTGAGAAAATGAAAATAGGAAATATGAAGTCATCCATCAATTATTTATGATTGAAACGAGTATGATTGACTTACAATATCTTAGCAAATAAGATACTTACCAACAAAAGGTTGAAAATTTGGACGCCACAATGGATTAATTGGAAACGAAGGATGATGAAATCGATTAGTGGTAGGTAATTTAAGAAGATTATTTGCTTGTTGATCATTCGTAGTTTCTTGAGACAATTCATGAAGAGAATGAAAAGTTGAATTTATTTTTGTACAATTTGAAAATGTTTGTTTGAATAATGGAGATTGAACAGGAAAATGTTCATTTGAAATGATAGATGAATTTGATGAAATAGGTGATTCAACATGATTTAAACCTATACAATAAATAACAAACGATTCTTATGATTTTGATGATTTAAAAGAAATAGTTTAATGACTTTTTTTTTTATTTTTTTTATTTTGAAGATGAATAATTTTAAAATAGTTTTACCTTTATGTGTTAATTCATCATCTAAATCATTGACTAATTCAAATGAAGACTCATTCTCTGAATATGTATTAACATTTCCAAGAATTGTATCAACTCCAAATTTAAGTTTTTTTCGTGTTGATAATAATTTTTCATTTGCAATTTTTAATTTAGTTTCATTATTATTTGATATATTTCTCGTCATATTTGTACACAATGGTATTAAATTCGAATTTTGATAATATTCATCATCAATAAGCATGTTTTATATATATAAATAATTCTATGTAAGAGCAAGCAATCAAAATTCTCATATTCTCGATTAGTTGGACAAATGCATCGTCGAATAATTTTTTTCATTAGTATCCAATCATTGTCGAGAGAGAGAGAAAGAAAAAAAAAAAAAAATAAAATAATGACGAACATCTACCATTCATAATGCTTGAAGGTAGAAACTAACTCTACACTCTTTCTCCATTTGATCAAAAGAGTAGATACTCAATAAAGCGGCATTGACTAAAAACTAATTTGCGTAGAAAAAAAAAAGAAAATAATTTATCAGTAATGTAAGTAGTAACAACGAAAAAAAATTATTAAATCAAATAGAATATTAGAAAAAGAAAAAAAAACAACAGTCTGCATCATTATTTGTATATGTGTAATCTAATCGGTAAGAACAACAATATTCAATCAGAATAAAAACAAATTTTTACTTTCAATTAATCATCGATGACAATGAAAATCTTTTTGAATTTTTTTCTTCAATCATTCAATTATAGAGAGAAAAAAAGAAAAAAGTAACGATGTTCTTTTTCTTCATGATTTCATACTGACAATTGAAGCAGAGAAGAGTACTCTTTTAAGTTTTAAGTGATTGACATAGAAAAAGAAAACTTGCTAACAGGCAAATATACTCTTTGTTGGTTAAATAAAATTACTTTACAATAATAATGAATGATCAAATATATTTCTTTCATATATTATTTCAGTTTCAATTGAAATTTTATTTTTTCTATTGATAACAGATTTATGAACAAAAGAAAACATATTTTGTTTCTTTTTTTTTTTTTAATATAGAATATTTCTTAATAATATAACTAAACAGAACAATTACTTCTGGTCGATTTATAAAGAATACTTTGATCATTAGTGTTGACTTTTTTCTATTTCCTTCTGATTATTGTCATATATTCTTGTTCATTCTTCTAATGTGTTGTTTTACACGAGTGATACTTGAACTATGGATGCTTGATTACATTGAATTCATTATTCTATATGCCTATAAGTCACATAGATATTAAGCTAGTTATTTTGTCACCCAATGTATATGAACAAATGACAACTAAAGAAATCAGTATGTGAAAAACAAATATTATTACTCTATGTATAAGACTGATGATCGTTTTTTTTTAATCAATTTAATATAATTCGAATGAATTGATGTACAATGTTGTATGAAATAAATGTTTTAAGTTGATTGTCATGTGTTGAAAAGAGGAAAGAATACTCAAGGATAATCATCATAGACAACTTCTCAACTTGACACGGATGACGAACTTCTTTTTTTTTTTCTTGTGTTAATTTTTAATTTGTTCACGAGTCACTTGAAAATTTGACGTAGAATTAACTGTTGTCATGTATTTTGTAATGAAATGTTATACTGAAGATACTATGGGTAATCATATTGATTACATTATACAAAAAGAAAACAGTGTTTATGAAAGATTATAGAGAAAAAAAGAAAAATTTCAAAATGTACTTATCTTCTCAACAGAAAATAAGTATTGATTTCTTATTGCTTTTTTCTTTCAAAAAAAAAACAAAGTTCTAATTCTTTATAAATTGAATAAGAGGGTGGGGTGAGTCAAACCACTTTTCGTGTCAAGTTATTTTTGTCATTCTTTTTTCATTCTCTATTTGTTTTTTTTTTTATAAAGAACATTCGCAATGAGTTTGTCATGTCACAATATCTTATCCTTAATTTTTATACACAAGAACATAAAACGAAGAGTCTTTCATAGAGCTCTACAAGATAGTAAAAAAAAATCAGATTTTACAAACAAAAATCGATCTAAGTAAAGGGATACTAATTCTGTATATGACTGCATTTCGCCATATTTTATAGCTTAGTAACATTACGATTGATATACAATGTTTTTTTTTTCCATATATATAAAATTCATCTCAATTATTACACAAAAATAAATAATTTAAAATTACTTTTTTTTGAATTAATGTCATAATAAAATTTAAAATAAAGAAAAATACATAAAAAATATATTATTTTACTTACCATTAATTGACTTGATGCCATAAGGTCATTTAAAATAAAATAAAAAAACATAATAAATAGTTTATAATTATTGTGCATTGCCTTCATGTGATATACGAAAGTTGTATAGCTCCATATACGGAGAAGAGAAGTTTATCTTTAAATAACTTTAGGTCAAATAGGCATGATTGTAAACGACCGTTTTTGATGATTTTTTGTTTATTGCGTTCCAAAGATGTTGCAATGGAAATATTAAATAGTTTGTAAAATGTTTGAATAATGCAATTTTATTTAAAAAAAAAACATTTTTAGAAAACTTATATTCAGCTGCTGATGACATAGCAGAAGAAAAGATGAGTTTTCTAACAAGTTGAATATGATTATTAAATTTTTTTCCTGAAGAAAATCATGATTTTTTTGTTGAATGATCAATTGTTGCTTTTTTGAGTGAATAACTCAAGTCTAAATCATGACTTAAACTCGTTCATTTTCGATATAGGAAAATTCTATTAAGTAAAACTATGAATCAGTGCTTAAATTAAAGTTTTATGTTCAAATTGGAATGAAAATTTTCAGTAAAGTTTATAAATTTACAAAAAAACTCTAAATGAATTCATATTTAATAATTGAATGTTACAGTTTTGAACTTCAGATCAACGAATAAACGTTCTGTTTATAAAGTTTATCATAGTTTTATTGAGATAAAAAAGTACGGATCTAGAATGATAAACAGAAGAGTTATACTCGAGGCCTCAGAGTCAATTATTGCAGTGCATTACCACAACACTTGACAATTAAACTCGTCTCCTGATGATAATATTCATTTTTAAAAAATATAACGCAATCTATGAAAATGAGTAACGTCATTAAATTTTTTACTTTGAAATTATCTATAAATACTATTTATTGTATTCGATGCCATTTAAAATGAAAAGAAGAATATTACAACTATTGTATTTCTTGAAGTACAGTTGTTGACGATGGCACTTATTCAACCTATGTCTTTCGAAAATTTTCAGAAAAAATTTCCCTTTTGAATCATACATTTTAAAAGGCGAAATGAAGTTAGGATAACTTTTAAACTGTTACACTAACTTTTAAGTTATATGTAAATTTGAACACTTAAAAGTATTGATTTCAGTAAGAATAATTGTTTTCATCAAGATTTAGACTAACGTACATTCTACTATTTCTATCTTCTAATCATCGAAAGCAAATACATATAACTTTAATGTAAATGTCTTTGATGATCGATAGAGATAGCATATTTATTGATGCTATATTTCTGAGATTCGTTTCATAATGCACTTATTTATCATCAAATAAACTTAGTTAAAGTTGAAATGAACATTCATGATAATCAATTTAGATTTTCATTAGATGAAAAATAAACTCACGATCTTTTTCTTATTTATTAGTTAGTCTTGTTGATATTTAAAAAATTTTTAATGACGAAAAAAAAAGACTGAATACATTTGTGAGAAAGTTTACTCTTTAAGATTTTACCTACTGATTATTTTGTCGTAAAATAAAAAAAAAAAGTGCCAGTCAATTGTATAAGAGTATTTAGATCGATTCATTGTCAGCAAGTGAGTTTCAACAGAGTTAAAGTAACAAAAAAAAATGTAATTGTTGAATAAAAGAGAAATAAACAAAACGAGTTCAAAATTTATTTTATCCTTCAAAGCATTGATCTGCATAGGTACAATAGGTAACTGAATATTTGACCTTGGTTGTGTCAAGTTGACCTATCGGCAAACGTTTATTTTTCAATTGAAAAAAAGTTAAATCCAAAGTCATTATTCTCGATAAGTTTATTTCAACATGTATGTTATCATTCTTATTAAATTTCGACTGTATTTATTAAAAGAAAGTTCAAAAACAAAACAAGCAAATTAGTTTCTTCTAAGACAAAAAAAGGTATGTAAAGCATTAAAGTTGAACATATTCCATAGAATAATGATAAAATATGTCTAATATAATTAACTATTGAATCTTTGTATTTATTTCTAAATAAAACAAAATTTAATATTAAAAAAAAAATCTGTCATAGATTTACATATGGTTTTGTATCTATAAATAAATAGACATATTTTGTTTCTAAATCTTCTTCTGGATCAATATTCATATTGATAAAAACAGTTTCTGGTTGTGTTTCTTCTTGAGATGGTATTGCATAATTATCTTGTTTAGGATAAGGAATTAAATTATTCGATGGATAGTTTATGACATTTGACATTGGATTAATACGATCACGAACTTGATTAACTCTTTTATGAAGATTATTAGAAGCAGCCATCACACCTAATATATAGTAGAAAATATTTATAGCGTCAAAACCATTTGGTTTTATTGTCTGACCTTTATTGTTGCCATTATTCAATGGCATTGATTGAATCGATTTAATTAAAATAAAAATAAGGAAGAACATATATAAGTATATCTATATATAGAGCTTGATATAATAGATAAATTTTCAAATAGTTAATTTACCTTAGCCATAAATCTTGAATGTATAAATGATTTTATATATTAACAATGAATATAGCTCTTCGTGTTATATACGTGATCCTATGCTGTATTATTTGTAATTTAGGTTTGAAAATGAGTACGACGCAATCGAATAACGAATAATTCAGTGCTCTTTTTTTTTTGCTTTCTATGTCATTTTTTTCAACGTTAGAAGCCATACATATTCTATGCTGTCTCATTTCAACATTTATATTAATTTATTGAATTTTGCATATATGACCATGATAGATTGACTATTGATCATAAGTGAAGTTTCAACTTAATAAAATAGAACAATGAAAAACATTAGACTTCATCAAATTTCATTTACATACTGTCAAATCGAAAGGTAAAAAGTAATCGATTACATTAAGTGAAAATAAAAACTTATATACAAATTCGATTTCTTTTTTTTAATGTATAATATTTTAACATAATTTATATGTTTAATATACTGTATAAATAGACTTCATTATATAGACTAACGTCATTTTACTATTGACAAGGTCATATAATGAATATAAATATTTATATTGACGTTTCATATTAAAGAAACAATGAATAGATCAGTTTTGTTTAAGAATTAGGATTTCGTTAATGTAAGAGAAAAAGATGATTTGATTGTTTCTCTATCATATTAATTTAAAAGTAATATAATAAAACAAACAAGATTTTTTTTCGTATAAGTTTACTTTATATAAATATAAAATCAAGGTTTTTATTATGTTGATAGTGTGCTAGAGGGTTTTCTGTTTGTCAATCTTTGAGTAAACTTTGTCACTTTCATTTAACTTCCTGAGAAAATGATATAGATAATTATTGTTTAGGCTTTTGGCAATTAATTAATACAATACTCTCTATTGGTGAACAACAACAAAACTTTGACATATATGCGTGTAACCTTGGTATTTATTAGAGAGAGAGCTTTATATCAAATATGTTCATGAGTACAAACATCAAGATACGTTTTCATAAGATTTAATATAGTTCTTATATATATATTTATGCTACATTCATATTGTTTAATGACAACTGATGAAACTCTTATTGTCAAAAAATCAAGATTTAAGCTTATGAAAATCAGAAGAGTACTTGGTAATTTTATCTTGAAGAACGATGCAAATTTCATTGCAGTAGGCGCTGTTTCTTTGACAAATTAGTTTGATATTTAATACATTGTGTTTTCGAAATCTCGTCAAACGAAAAAAAAAAATAGTTAATCATTAAACTTTATATCGTCAATTATTTTACCATCGTTTATTAAAATTTACATCAGGAATAAAAAACAATTTTTCCTCTTCCGATCTACACTATATTAATATTTCTACATTGTTCTATTGAAGACTTTTCCTGAGGTTCTTGATCTGTGATCATAGAGAAAAGCAGCTAGGCAGATATAATTCATCATACTGAGTCAAATAGTGGTACATAATTTTAGGTTCAGAATGATCTGACTCTATTTTCTGAATGTTTTCGAAATGCATACTCTTTCTTAACATGAAGGATGATTGTAGAATTTAAGAAATACTGAAATAAAAGTGCCAGATGAGTTCAAGTCTAACAACGAATATCACCATTCATTTCAGCATAGTAAATGATCCCTACCTAGCTACTTTTTTCGAGTAAACATAGATCTATTGGCTGAATCGAGAGTCTCAACAGTCTACTAATCAACCGAAGTTTGATTTATTCCTATGACCTCGAGTCTAGTCTCTTGAACTGTAAAAATTACTGATCTCCATGATGTTTCTATGAAAATATATTCGAAAAATAGTGGAGCATATTATGTTTTGAAAAGGATAATGTAAAAAGAGTATTGAAATATAGGAGTAAAAATTCGGAACTCATCGCTTCTCCTCATAGATATGACAAGCATCTTAGCAAAAATTCATGACAAACCGTAATAGATCTTGTTGATATAGGGTTACGGATCGTATATATGTCACACGTATTCAACCATTAGGTAAACGAAAAACAAGAGGACGTCTCAAGAGAGTTAGCATAACTTTAAATTTGTAAATACATATTAATAAAAATAAGAATATTATTTACTTTGTTAGTATTTCAATGAATATTGCTTATTTGGTACATTGTATTTTACTTTGCTGAGAAATAAAAATATCTGATCTGTTCATTTACCATTCGTTAGAGCAAAGTCTGTAGATGAAAAATGCGTATTTCAAAACAAAAATATTTATTTAACAAACGTTCAAATTTTTATAATTTTCAAAACTGTCTTGTAACTTTTGCAAATTTTTTTCTCGAATTGAATTTTTATCACTAGCGCATCATCCGTAAATAGTAATCAATTAAGATGAAAGTTTCGCACTTTACTCATTGCAGATCCAGGAATCGAAATAGCCTCTCATTATGACAATGCTCTAACGCTAATTTCTTGCTAAGCTCCGTAGATTTCTTATAGAGCTTAAAGTTCTCTATCCTTTCATTCAAAAGAGAATAGCTTTGATCATCTGAAAATGGGAGAAAATGTCATTAAGATTTCATGCAATTTATTTTGAGATACTTATTATTATTTATTTTCTTTTAGTTCAAGTTATACATTATTTGATGGAATAATCATTTCACATCCATGAATAATTATCTCAACTTATTATTTTATTCTTTATAAATTCAGATAAAATACTTCATCTTTATTTTTTTTTAAATCTATTGTTGAAATAGATAATAATCAACATTTTATGCTTGTTGTTTTCTACAAAAAAAAATAAAGATAAATATGTGGATGTGAGTGTGGCTACGAATGAGAACAAGACCAACACCGACACCTACATCCCACACCCCATATCCACATCCTCATCATTTAGTTGTAATTCTCTCTTAAGTTTTCAGTTTGCACTAAGTCTTATAGAAAATTGTGAGAATAACTTTTATTTTATGCTCGCATATTCCTGGTATGCAGTTAACATGCTTCAAGAAAAAGAAAAATGAGAAATATGGATGAATAAATGATGTTATTGTCATATATTTTAAAACCACCTGTTTTCTTACGTCAACTCAGCGAACTGGTCAATTGGAAATTACCAATGGACGTTAGATTTTCATTTTCAAACTGTGTCAGTTCAACAGTCATTACGGCTTTGGCAAGGTAAACACTTTTATAGGCTGCTCGTGTTCCTACGCTGATTGTGTAGGTGCCTGGTCGAAGATAGATAAATGCTATACGTGTAATGGGTACTACAGTATTTGCGATATATGCGTATTCTCCTACTATGTCAACCTCCCACACAGTATTACCAAGTTTATGATTGATTCTTTCAGCCGTATTTGGTACAAGTTGATTTCCAATGATTATATGACCATTCATCATTATTTGGAGGAACTGATCACAATGATTCGCACTCGGTTCTCCCCCTTCACAGAGAGGACCTTGTGCAGTAATTTTAAACAGAGTGTTACGTGTTACGTGAAATACCTCGGTGTGTTCAGATACCTGATAAAATGTATCACTCACAGGAACCGTGAAACTATTTGTGCTTTGATATTTTACAAAAACTTGAT